GCCCACATTTTCCATAGCCTTCTTTTTATCACTGATGTACCTATTGGAGCTTTTCATGTGGCCCTTGACATCCCTGGCCAGATTTAATTCTATCAGGGCTTTAGCTTTCCTAACCTGATCCCTGGTTGCTCAGACAATTTCTCTGTATTCCTCCCAGGCTACCAATACTGTGGGTCTAAACCTTACCACTGAGCTTGAAAATCTATGGTCAGTGCAAAATACAGCTATTAAAAGATGTGGTTTACATCAAGCAGAAATACACAAGAACATTAATTTATCAGCTATAGAAGACTAAAAGCTAAATAAGTACCTCACTGGAAAGGCTATGCAAAACAAAAAATATGATTACAGCAACACACCAAGAACTAGTAACACAGGGCATAGCTGAAGGTATCAAGGTGACACAGAGCAAGACTCAGACACCACATGTTCATGTCCAAAACTAGTAATCATTTCCTGCCCCCAACCTAAGACAAAGATAATTATTGATTAGGTGATGCCTCAAAGAAATCTAGAAGGAAAAAACACACCCCTCAAAAAAAAAAAACCAAAACAAAGCCAAAACCAGAAGAACTACTAAGAAAATAATAATCTACTGATGGGAATCAAATTTGAAACCAAGAATATCAGAACTTATTTTACGCACATTCACAGACACATATAGTCCTTGTCCATAAAATTACTGAACTAAAAACAGCCAAAGAGAAAAAACAACTAATATGAGATCCATGTGTGTACACCAAAATAAAGTAATATCAAAAACTTGAAAAGCCACATAGAAAATAATTTTAAAAAATCATCAACCTGCTACCAAACGCAAAGACTCGCTCATTTGTATAATTAAGAAATTGCTGAACACATTTTGACTTCCTAGATTGTTAACCAATTTCCGAAGTACATCACCACCACTGCTAACAAGGTTAGATCCCGCAAAGAGCAAAACTGAAGGATTCACGTTCAGGAACATAAAAAGATAGTAGTAAAAAGACTTACATTTAATCAAGTTACAAAACAAGGGAAGCAGAAGACAAGCTTTCCAGACAACAGTGCTTTGATAAAAGCAGATAAACAAGCAGAAGTGGGTTATTAGGAGGCTACTAATTTTTCTAACAAGCTAGTCATTAACAGATCTTGGAATACACAGGTGTTAAAGAAAACTGGGTGCTATTGGAAATGACATTCCTTTGGAAAGAAAGGAACTTAATTTTCTCTTGGAAGCAGTGCTGAGTGAAAAAAAAAAAAACAGTCCCAGCATGACCACTGATAAAAACGTGCAGCTGTGAGCATACACATACGGCTAAGGATTCAGTAGTTCAGTCTGAAAATTCTCTGTACCATTTGGAACAAGATTCAGGTTAAAACTCCACATCTCATAAAACAAATTCAATGTGACTCCTTAATTGCACTCTAGGAAAAGGCAGATTTTGAAAACAAACCATGAGTACTCCATTAGTTTGCATGACTACATAACCCATGTACTTTGTAAAGAAAATGTAAGAGACTTGCCAAACGTAGGTAAGAGACACTGAAAGATGCTGCAGGTAACAGACAGCATCTAGCTAGCTGCAGCCAATCCAAGATTAAAATAAGAGACCATTCTAATGCTGTCAATGGAAAGATAACAGATCAGTTTATGGAAGTTTAGGTTTGCCTCACTTAAAATAAAGATAAGCAACAAAGTAACTTTACAGGAAATGACTAATGCAGTCCAAGTAACACAACCACAAAAAAAAAAATTACAGAACACATCAAATCAAGTGGAGAGTAGGGAGCCAAAATAGGCAATCTAAAATTTATAATAATATAAATAATATAATAAAGATTTAAAAAAACATAAAACCTGTAATTTAGCTATGAAATACCAGGATACTAGATGTAGCAGCGTATATGCATTGCTTTTATGCCTTGAATAGTGCAGCAACTAGAACTCAGCCACAGAAAATTTCTGACTGAACAAAAACAGGTTTTCATAGCTTATAATATAAAACATTGTCAGGCATTACTAATGGAATAAGTCATTGAAAGCTTATGAATATAGTTGTTTAAGAGTAAAAACTTACTGCCACTGGATGTGATCTCCAAAAATACTTTAAGTATGCCAGTTCTACAAAAGCCAGCAAGAATGAGTCTGACCCTTAATAACAGAATGTTTTGAGAACAAGGCCTGTTCCTTGACATACTAAATCTAAATACACTACCATCTGATATATAACACCAACTCACTGATCCCTCACTTCAGTAATCTTGTCAACATACCACAAAGATTTCTTTAAGTAAATTCAAGATTTAACAGGTTTCTCACAGTGTTAACTGATAGTTACGTCTGTTCTCAGAAGCACTGTGGATAACAATGAAAATACATTCAGGATGGCTCTCCTAATCCAAGTCTGCTGCTTTCCTACTGTTATGGAAAAAAAGTAGCAGAAAAAACACACTTTTTTACCTGTAATCTGGTGTCTTTATAAGGATGTTTGCATGACTGACATGATAATGTATCACTAGCTATCAAAACAATTTCAAAATGAAGGCAAACAGAAATGTGTGTGTATATAACTTTCACCATAGTGTGTCTTAGACAGTATCCTAAAAGCAATAGTTTCTGAATTTTTTCTGAAGCCGTGAAAGGAAAAATTAAACTATGATCAACTGGTAAAGAAGCAAGTACGTAACAGGAACATCCATCCTAGGAAGGGCTCAGTGTTAAGCGAGTTTCAAAATTATGTAAGTACCCAGATAGAGAAAAACTACTCTAACTGAAATGTTCTGTTGAAAGAGAAGAGCATGAAGAGACAAAGAACAGGTTCTAACAGCGTGTCGAAAAACCTGTTATAATTCTCTCTGTCCCACTCTCTGAAAACAGATCAGTCAAATTTGCAGTCTACGCTTTGTTTGTACCTGCATAGACTAGTTGTCCAGAAATACTTACCAACTAACCACATTTTCTAAGAGGTTATACATGCTCATGACCCTACTGCACATGGATATGCTCAGTCTCAACAGTCTACCAAAGCCAAATTACTGAAAAATTCGATGACTGCTGTTTTGGACAATTTATTTTATCATAACTGGAGAAAGGCCAATGTCACTCCAATCTTCAAAAACGGCAAGAAGGAGGACCCAGGGAACTACAGGCCGGTCAGCCTCACCTCCATCCTGGGAAAGGTAATGGAGCAGCTTATCCTGGAGGCCATCATCAAGCAAGTGGAGGAAAAGAAGGTTATCAGGAGTAGTCAGCATGGATTCACCAAGGGGAAATCATGCTTGACCAATCTAATAGCTTTCTATGATGACATGACTGGCTGGGTTGACGAAGGGAGAGCCGTGGATGTTGTCTACCTCGACTTCAGCAAGACTTTCGACACAGTCTCCCATAATATCCTCCTAGGGAAGCTCAGGAAGTATGGGCTAGATGAGTGGTCGGTGAGGTGGATTGAGAACTGGCTGAATGGCAGAACTCAGAGGGTTGTCATCAGTGGCGCTGAGTCTAGTTGGAGGCTGGCAACTAGTGGTGTTCACCAGGGGTCAGTACTGGGCCCAGCCTTGTTTAACTTCTTCATCAGTGACCTGAATGAAGAGTTATAATGTACCCTCAGCAAGTTTGCTGATGACACCAAACTGGGAGGTGTGGTAGACACACCGGAAGGCTGTGCTGCCATTCAGCATGACCTGGATAGGCTGGAAGGCTGGGCAGAGAGGAACCTGATGATGTTCAACAAAGGCAAATGCAGGGTCCTGCACCTGGGGAGGAACAACCCCATGCATCAGTACAGGCTTGGGGTGGACCTGCTGGAGAGCAGCTCTGTGGAGAGGGACCTGGGTGTTGTGGTGGACAACAGGTTAACCATGAGCCAGCAGTGTGCCCTGGCTGCCAAGAAATCCAATGGGATCCTGGGGTGCATTAGGAAGAGTGTGGCCAGTAGGACGAGGGAGGCGAGGAGAGGCTGAGGGAGCTGGGCTTGTTCAGCCTGAAGAAGAGAAGGCTGCGAGGGGACCTAATATATACTTACAAATATCTGAAGGGTGGGTGTCAGGAGGATGGAGCCAAGCTCTTTTCAGTAGTGCCCAGTGATAGGACAAGGGGCAACGGGCACAAGCTGAAGCACAGAATGTTCTGTCTGAACATGAGGAAGAACTTCTTCCCTCTGAGGGTAACGGAGCACTGGAACAGGCTGCCCAGGGAGGCTGTGGAGTCTCCTTCTCTGGAGATATTCAAGACCCACTTGGACAAGGTCCTGTGCAGCCTGCTGTAGGTGACCCTGCTTTGGCAGGAGGGTTGGACTAGATGACCCACAGAGGTCCCTTCCAACCCCTACCATTCTGTGTGATTCTGTGTGATAACATCAATAAACCACAGCATCACATAAGAATTTTATTTAACCCCCTCTTCATCAGCAATTAAAACTTTTAAAGAACCTGTTGTAAAAGTTATCCTACATCTATGCACCACCTGCTGCGCAACTGCTTCATCATCCTTTTGCTCTCCAGCTGCACACTTACACAAACATTGTAAAGACCTTGCTCCACTACGCAAGGTGTGCATCAATTGCAAAAGTACTGCTTCAGATACCCATTGTGATGACCAGTTGCAGACTCTCATGCCTGATAAAACAGGTGCCAGACAAGGAGTCTTTAAGTGTGCAGTACAGATTTATGCTCAGTATAGTGCAAAGTTTAATTTCAATATGTTTTTATCTTACACATTTTACTGCTGTCTGACAGCCTGTAGCCCCCTTAACTTCCCCCAGAAAGGAAGAAATAAAGAACCTTAAAGCACACCTTCAACAGCTTTTCCTTGGAAATAAGCATATGCACACCTGTTTTGGGATAAGACAGCTACCATTTGAGAATTTATATGCAGTACCCCTTAGCAGTAGAAGTCTAAAACAATGTCTTGAGAACAACCAGACATTACTCTCTTTGGAATTCTTGTTCACTGACAAAAGATAACTTTATTCTCTCTAGGTATTTCAGATTTTACCAAAACCTTTTAAGTTACTTACGGTTTTCCCCCAGGAATCCCGGCTAGATTCGGAGGGATTCCAGGTACTCTCATGTGAGGTGGAGGATCAAACCCAACCTGATAATGAGAAACGAATTAATCTCACACTTGCAAATTCTCATGTTTTCCCTAGGCATGCTTCTGCTAGAAGTACTCATATGCAAATAGAAAGCCAATAATGTATATCATGCATTCACACCACTGAATGTAACACAAGTACCCCTTGTGTTAGCACAGAGCGAGCCCTGGAAATCAGAGCCCGTGCTGTGTCAGCATGTAGCCACGCCAGTGCTTTTTAGCTCTGCAATGGCTAGCGTGTACCCATGCAGGCACAGCATGGTGCTGGAAAGCAGGTTCAGGCCCAAGCTAGAATCTCTGCACAGCTCCACACTGCACTGCGTGAGCACATCAGCTGAGAGGCCTCTCAGAGCCACACTGCAGGGTGCAGACAAATTTCTCTACAGCTTAAATATACTATGCTCTCTTTACATATCACAATCCTACTAAACTTCTGTAGCCTGAATAAGTATGTACATCAAATAATCCAAACAAATTCTGGACCAAACAGACTTAGTTTTTCTTCTGAACACTGTATCTGAGTTAAAATTCTTATTGCTTTAAGGAATGCATATGCTATTTAGAATTTCTACATTTTACATATAAGCTCTGTTTACCAGTTTGAAAAAATCAGCCATATCTATACCAATGAGAAAATAACAAGCTTAAGTCCTATCTTGCAAATTTACAAGCAGGTAAGTTTGTCTATGCATAAAGGTGCCACCAAGCTTGTGTTTGCAGAATCAGGCCCCTAGGTTATTCTGCTTGACAGCACTACAACTATAGTGCTTCATTTACTAACTCCATGCACAACAGTAACTGTTCTTAACACACCTTACCACAGCGCTCCAAGATATGTACCGACCAACTTCTCATGTTGATTTCCACAAAAACAAAATACAATGACAGAGATGTAGATAAAAAGACTTCTACACGCTTCAAGATTAATTTGGTATGTATGTATGGAACACAAATCTGGTTCAGCAACACAAAAGCAGATGACCACAGGACCAATTTAATACTTTGTAGCTACCAAAACTACCATTTCATTTAAAGCATAAATTATTTTTTTCAGCATTTATTTATCACTCAAAGCACTGATGAAGGTGAGGAAAAAAGGAAACATATACAGACACACCAAAATTCTTCATTTTCAAGGTGCAAATTTGTTTGTCTAACCACGCAGCAAAGCAAAGCAACACAGTGAAGCTGCCCAGCCTCTGGCGCTGTTGCAACTTAGGAAACTGACAGTGCTAAATGAAGCGTATAGCTCTTCTCAGTGAACCACAACTCACAGGACTGAGATTGCATGCAACGTATGGCCTACCATAGGAGATCTTCCATAGGCAACCACAGCAGCTGCAGCAGCAGCAGCACTCATCTGGGGTGACATATTGTGCAGACTGGCATAGGCTGCCCCTGGACTGGTTAACTCTCCATTCATGCCAGCATGAGGTACCATTCCAAATGGAGCAGGGTATGGTCCTGGTACTGCCAACGGTGTCCGCAAACCTGCAGCTACAGAGTAACGAGAGCAAGTAGTTTTATTTATACACTCCTGCATACAGGGAAGAAAACAGCCCTTGTTTTCCCCTACAATACCCAATACTCCCCTCTACATATGTACACACACCACCAAGAAACACTGCCATATTTTATCAGTACCACCGCCTCTTTTCACTCAGTGTAAATAAGATCTACTGAAGTCTGAACTTGCTGATTACTTCTAACAATCTCTTCTAGCATTACCTATTTCCATTTTTGTAATATTTCCCTGTTTACACTTATCTCTCCTTTGCCAAATTAAGCAGTAAAGCTGACAGACATGGTTTACACAGCTCATGTCTGAAGCAACTGTGCTGTACCGGCTGAATAGCAAAAGTAAACTTCCCCCTGCATTTGTCAAGATTTACACTGCAGCATGTATTAGTAGACTCAGACAAAAAGCTGGAGGAGAGATTGTATTCAGAATAAGTACATAAACTTCTGCGAAGTCTTTTTATATTGTATTCAGTCTCTGGATTATTTGCAAAAAAGATAAAGACAAAAGTAAACAAAGAGGGATAAAAGATAGAAAGATAGTCAAACTCTTGATAATCCAAACATCTGCTTCTCATTAAGCCCTCTCTTGATATCAAGAACAAAGCAATACATTTAGTTAACATTCACACAGAACTACATACATAAAAAAAGATTAATTTTGGAACCATAAAAACACGTGAGGTAATGCATTACCAGCTTGGTTAACCAGAGGGTCCATTGTTGGAGGCTTGCCAAGGCCTGGACGAAGTCCTGGTGTTGCGCTAGTGCCTGCGGTTGGCACATCACTTCGAGGAGTTGGTGTGCTGGATTTCAGAACAGGCGTGCTGGCTTTTTCATGCTGGTATCATTAAATAAATTAAATGAGTATTATTTTTAATCCATGCCATATTATACAATTTATCACAACAGCAGCTGGGATGTTGGGCACCTAGCATCTAGTCCCTCAGCCAATTTCCGTAAATCCATGCAATGCTGACAACTAACTTGAGAAATGCTGACCTTTTTGATTACTGCCAAAATTAAAATAAGAAACATAGAAAGTTATTTTTGCTTCTTCCATTGGCATGGAAAAAAAACACCCAAGTTAATTTTCAGGACAATACAGCATGCATCACCAAATTGTTTTCGCTTGATATAATTACTGTCTCAATTATTACTGGAAACAGCAAATCTAAGTACAAAACCAAAACACCATTATAGCTGATAGTGTCAAAAAATGTGACAAAAGATACAGAGAATCTGATCAAATTATTAGTGATACTACAGGAAAAGTCTTCAAAGAGTAACAGCTTATTTAGAAGACTCTGACAAAAGCCTGCAGGAATTCTTGGCGACTATATATAGACTATGTTAAACCATAAGCTATTGTTCAAGAAAAAATAAACAATACTTCAGCAACTTTTGTACTTTGTAGCAAATTTGCAACGCATTTGACAGAAATGTAGGAAATACAAGACATCAAAATGAAGTAACAAATATTGCTGAGGAGGAAAGCTGAGTAATACTATAAAGGTCTGGAAAAACAGTCGTCTATTTCAGCTTCAGATTTTTAAAGTGACATACTTTCTGCCCCAAGTAGTTGCAGGAGAATGGAGAGATTACAAGAAAGAACAGCATTTATCTGGATAACAGACTGCTACCCACCATACTCATTTCTTTGGATTTGAGGGAAGTGGAACTTCCTGAAGAGGCCGTAGATGCTGGACTACTAGAGGCGTCTTTCTTCAGCAGGCGGGTTTTATCTATACCGTTTTCACGTGGTGAATGAGTGGGACTTGCCCTTGGAGAAGAAGGATCCTAAAACAATGGGAAGGGGAGAACAGCACAGAATACTGTCATGGGTTGGTACACAAACACCACTAAGGAGTCTATGAGAAAAAAAGCCAGAAAAATTTAAGTAGCAAGTTCAAGTGACAAGACACTGTTATCTCTATAGAAAAGGCTGAAATTCCTTCATCGATTTAGAGACATAAGTTCATATAGTAAACAATATGGTTTTTACTACAGAATCATAAACTGTTTCCAGGCATAGAGTTTGCAATCTAAGTATACCTAAATACAAACTAAGGCAAGCACACACAATATAAGAGCAAGAAAGACAGTAACTACAGTAAGTTTACACTGGTTTTTCCATGTATATACTCCACCCGATGCTAGCAACAACAAACATTTCAGTAATCTCTTTTAGGCCATACAAACCTTGCTCATCTCTGTCTTCAGAAGAAGAGATAAATACATGTGCTTTATTTTATATGCCATAGAACCTGTCACTTCTTTCTAAATACCACCTCTAATTGCTTAATTACTTCAATCTACAGGAAAAAATTAAATCACCTTTCAGGTGATTACCTATCTTTCTTGCAGAGGCACTTGCTGCATTTACTTTAACCTGAAATAGCCATGCCAGCAAGCCACAGTGCCTTTAGAGCTCTGCAGGTTCTCCATGCTGCTTTGGCTCATAAGAACAGCAACAGGGAGGAAGAAGTCCTCACAAGAGGGCACTAAGTCTACAATCGATTATTGAGCAGCTTCACCGTAAGCAGGGCTTCTGACAGGATTACTGAAATCCCTGGTTGGATACCCATTTTTCTGCCTGACTGGTAGCACTTTGGGCACTTGGAGCTGCTGGAGACACTTGTTCTTTGTCAGCTTCTCTCCCTGTGCTTTTCACAGAGCAGAACCACCTCGCTATCACATTCAGGCTTCCTAAATGCCTTTGTTGTATGAAGTAAAAGATGAAGAAAAGGGAAGACCCATCCCTTGACCTTGATGCCACTGCCAAATTTCTGCTCTGGAGAAAAAAGGTGGCTACAACATCTGGAAAATTTTGTGAATTGACTGACTTCACTCTGACTTCATTCTAAAAACCAAACATTTCTGGAAAATGCTGTCTTTAACACAGACTATTAAAATACTATTAATTTTTAAGGTACCAAAAACGTTTTTAATAATAATCCTACTATTAAATACAAGGTTAGGCATTGTCTTCCCTTTTCATTTGAAGACAGTAATTTGAAAACCTCAGCCCTCCACCTGTATTTCACCACGACTCTCACCACTACAGAGCAGCTGTCAAGCATCAGAACATCACTGCAGAGGGAACAGACCTGGACAAAGCAGCAGAAGAAAAAGCCGAGAGGGCAACCAGATAAAGCTGAGAAAACACAGTAACTGCAGTACTAACAAAAATGACAAGTTGTGAATATTTTAACATATCCACACAGAGGATTCTTTTTCTTCTAACATCTAAATGCACTTTTCCTTTAACCTTTGGGCAAACGTCAAGACTACAAAAATGAAAAAATTTACCTCATTGGATACATCTACAACCAAGTTATCGTCACTCTTGTCCCCATCACTGTCCTATTAAAAATAAATAAATATAGTGTTCATTTCAATCAGTACATTAAGAGCCCAGAGAGAAAGACTACGCATCTACTCAGACATGTTTTGTTTTTCCTAAACAAAAAGCAAACAGCCTTTCATTAACTTATTAGCAATAGGGAAAACAATGAGAACAGAAAAACACCACCTTATTTCTGCTTCAATAACAAAACCCCAATGAAGTAGAACTCGTTGAAAGGTGGTGGTCTCACCATCAGTGCAAGCAGGTCCAAAACCGCTCCTCATTACCGTCACAAACAGTGTTATCACTACTCCTAAAAGAGAAACTAATTCTGTTCATATGCTAATCTTACGTGTTAATCTTACAGAAATTACTTCTTGTGCATACCTAAAAAAGCAACAGATCTCAAAAAACTGGAGCTTTCTAACATTTGCTTGATGAATCAGCTTCCTGAAAATGACAGGACAATTTTTCTCCTTTTCCAGAAAGGAATGTTTTAGGGAAGAAGAAGCTTCAGAAATGGCAAGGCATTTCAACATTTCTGCCTAAGAAAACCAAAATACTTCAACATTCTTAAATGGAAATGTTTTACTGTGACTTGTCAAGCTTCATTTTGACTGTTTCACATAAAACTGTGTTCACCTGCACTGTTCTAGTGCTTCATGATAGCTGTTACTCAATTGCCTCCTGGTCCCTATCTCCAGAATGGGCTGGGATGCCCCACGACACACATTCTATGATAGACAGTGGTCTAGTGATTTCTGTAGTGCACCACAGTGGTTCAGCCAGAAGATGAGTCTTGATTCAAAAACAAAACCTAACAAAATCAAGTGAATGACGAAACTTAAACTTTTTGTGTGGGCAAGTTTGACTCTTCCAATAAGAATACTTTTTAGTTAAAGAGTTTCTAGGCAAACAAATCGGGCATACAAGATTGCTCAAACTGTCCCTCATCTCTTGCTTTCAAAGTGTCTAGGCTATTACACTTAACACTGGCAGACAGAAAGTAAAACACCAGTTCCTTCCTGTCACTTCAGGCCATAAATGGTAAAAAACCCAAAAAAACAAATCCAATACTCAAATAAAAACCCAACAGATAGTCTCAACCCTTCCCTTCTGCTTTAGCAGCTGAATATTGCTCCAAGAAATAAACATATTTGGGACCTAAGAGTGCCACTGAAGAAACAATGGTGGCTCTGTTTGCGACTCAGGAAGTTGTCCAGCCAAAGGGTGCAAAAAAAGGAACAGTAAAGCTTCAGACCTGGTTATCTGCCACCTTTCGAAAAGTATGAAGCTCCCATAAGGCAAGAATAGGTTAGAATACATTTGACCATGTGGTAGCACAGTAGGTGGGACATTTATTCACCAGAAATACCACCCCTCAGCAGGGCAAAAATAGCTGCCAAGAAATGATTAAGTACAGTCCACTGACTTTGTCATCTTGAGAAACAGAATTTTTCTGGGACTATAAATGACACCTCCTATAGGTACTATTAATAGAAAATTCTCCTCACTAACAAACTCATAAGTTGAAACTATACAGGTCCTAACATGAAAGTTAGTCACAAGTCAAAAAGAAAACAAAAATTGCATTTTGCATCTGATTTCGAAAAGCAAAAATTCCTACAACTCCTTCATGTCCCTTCTGACAAAAGCAGTACTTCCTTGTCCCTACAATGGCCTCATCTAAAATGACCTCAAAATCAGCAACTCTGTGTTTGCAGAATCAGGGAACCTTTAAAAAGAAAGATCATCTTCCAGGTTAGAATAGTCACAACTTTCAAATCCTTGTTTTGCTGAATTCTTTATTTTTATGCTGCCTTTATCTGTAAAATTCATTTCAAGCTAACAGAATAACACATTCAAAATGTGGATTAAAAACTGCTTCTACAGTGCAATAATATCCTTGCATTTCTTTCCAGTAGAAATACAAGAAAAACAAGAAAGTTAAGCTTTTTCTTCCTTTTTTTATATATCAAATGTAACTTAAGAATGCTTAATCTTCAAATATTTAAAATGAAAAACGCCCATACACTATCAAAACCTCAAAGTTGAGGGGGTAATATGGGGAACTTTGCTAAACCCTCCTGTAATCAAAAGAAGATTATTAGAAAGCAGTGGAAATGCAACTTGCAAAACCGTAACAGTAATACACCACCACAATGTGCAGAAAGGGGAAAGTAACTCCATCTACTGTCAGTAGCTCCAGGGATAACCAATAGCTGCTAAGAGACATTCTGGGTCCAAGCGGGGAGAAATTACCCTACCAAATACTGAGGAAATACAGTGGCACCTGATTTTCTCCTGGTTTTCAGCAACCAGGAAGTAAGTAGTGATTGGAATCATATAAACCAGGCAATTTGCCACAGACTAAAACTTTATTGCTATGTCAAAGAATAGTATCTTCTGTTAGATTTAAGCTCTGCTTTGCAGTACTCTTTCACACCATTCCTAAACTCTAAAGCCTGTTCCAGTATCATCCTGTGATATGGCTGAGCATTTATACTTGAAGTTGAAAGCCTATGTGAACCTTCCGAGGTTCATGTATGCCACACTGTTGTACTGAAGTGCCTCTTTGAAACCAAGCAACAAGCAAGCTAGTCAAAAATGCAGAACACAAACCGTGAATTTTTTGTGTTTCAGTTCGCTTTCTGCTGAAATTGCCATTATCAACCAAAAGCAAACTTTAGTAAGTTGGTACGGCCTTATAACATATGCAATCTGCAATGGTAACTATTACTCAATATAGCAAGTTAGTATCAAAAAAATGTACTAAAAGCCCCCAAATCAACAAAATCTTCCATTTCAAACAAACCAGCGGGTTTTAGAGCAGTCCAGAAGGGACCTCTTGCTCAAACTCTGAGAAACATCCCAGAACACTTGTGAATCTCAGTTACTCCTGACTCATTATTCCCTGTTGAAGAGTATTACTTGACAATAGCCAAACTACTAAGTCACTACTCTTCCCATAACATGAACAATGGTTTCTCTGGCACATATATTTGTGTACTGCATCAGCCATAGGAAACACATTGCCTTGTTCTTAACAACTCTTAACTCCTCATACAAGCACAGTATGTACAAATAAATTAATCATTTCTTTGACACATATTTGCTTACATAGTGGCTGGAATCCTTATCATCCACCTTTCTCTTTTTGATGTCATTGGTATATTCAGGGCCATTCCTGCGTTTATCTGTGCTTCGCAGACTGTCTGGGACCAACAGAGAATTACTCTGTAAAGACAAAAACCAAGGTGAATTAAAAATTCATTTCAAGATTCCTTCATATATGCTTAAAAACTCAAACTGGATCTGACACGCTTTAGAAATGTTATACCTACATAGTCCTTCATTCCATTTAATTCAACTCAAAGTCCTCCATGTGAACATGTACAGCTTCATGCATTCCAAGCAGCTTGGCTTTTCATTGTTCAACTTATCAAAAGTTTAGTTCACTCGTCAGTCACCATCTATTGAACTAATTAATTCAACTGAATTTGTTGTTTAGGAGAAGCAAGCTTACTGTTTATTCATGAGCAGGTAACATTTTTTTTTTTTAATATATAGACTCCATATCATAAAAAAAGACTTACTAAGTATAATCTGACTCATTGCCCACTTCTGGCCACCATAAATAAATGAGGCTTTGGTTTATCTACACCTGCAGGCATAGATAGATATACAGCAACTTGCCTTTAACTCCTAAAATGACAAATATTTATCAAATAAGGTTATGCAGTAATTATTTGTTAGCTGCAGTAAGCACCAACTGGATGCCTTCAACAAATGTATTGCAAACAAAGATCAAATATTTCTACTCCAAGCATAACATTCACTACCGGTGTGAAATTAAGGTTAAAGTGTTGTTTAATCAGACTTGATCTGAAAAACTGAGGCCAACGTACACACACACAAGAGAAAAAGCAAAGACTAATCTTTTCCTCAAACTACATGGACTGCTTTCATTCATGCTAAGCTATGCTAAGTACGAACTGTTGACCCAAAGAGAAAGGCATTTTAGACATTCTTCAGTCACATGACAATCTGACACCACTGCGATTCCCATCTCCATCTCGGTTCCAACTAAAGCATTAAAACGTGTTACAATTAGTTCTTTTAAGTGCAGGATTAGCATATGCAAAAGGGCAATTTGTTCAGTGATGTGTTAATGCTGTGAACAATACTGAATGAGTTGAGAATAAAACTTCTTTCACAAAGACCTGGTAAGCTTAGTTCCCAAAAGCCAAGTACATGCTTACATAAATAAATGGTCAAGTAAATATATAAGCAAATACGTATTTACATGCAATCTCTCAAGAGAAAAGCCTATTAACCACATATATACACTGTAAGTGTAAGCCCTCAAAGGAAATACTTAGATCTACCCAAGAGCCAGAGATATTTACTCTTAATATATCATAAGCATACACTAACTGTGCACTGAATGGCTTCCCTTTGCAAACCTGATGACATCACGGTAGTTTGCTCAGACACTAGTCCCAAGGAGAACAAGATACATAGGGTAATCTGAATCCTCTTTTTCCTACTTCAGAAGCTGCACTTTAAAGCCAACTCTAAGCTCTTTTATTCCTGACTATTCATGCTAAACAAATGCCTGGGGGCTTACATAAAGCATATAGGAGTGTTTAATGAAATTCAGTATGAAGAAGCTCAAAATAATGTCTTTACTGAAATGTTTTGCAGCTAAAAAGTGGGCTTGTTGGATCACTGAACTAATTACCTCGACAAAGACAGTCTGAATTTAACCCCTCATCTCCTCCCAGATGCACACAAACTCAGGAATTCACTACTACGAAAAACATTAAAACCCATCTTCGACATTTTAATATTGAATCATGTCTTCAGCACTAGAAACATCTTAAGCTGAAGTTGCAAGCTGTCCATTCAAACTCGACCACAGATTTCAGCACAGCAAATGACTTTCCTCCTTGAGGAAAGAGACACTTCCCTTAACAAAAATCATTAAAACACCCCCCATTTTACTACTGAAGAGCTTAGAAGAAAACAATGAAGGCAAATGTAGTAAAGTGAATAAACTAAGTTTCTCATTTTAAATTGCCAAAATTAAGTGTGAATAATGGAAATGTGGCAAAGGGGCAGCAGCTGGGAAAATTTAGCAACCCTGTTATTTGAAGTTATTTCACAGAAGTGCAGGGAACAGCTTGCAAATTTTGGCATCAATATGTACAACTACAAAAGCTGGTATTTTTTTCTGGTTTAATGTAAAGTCTACCTAAACAGTGCTGACAATATTCTGCACAGTTTGTCTTGCAGAATTTCAATACTGTGCAGCACACCTAGGAACTCTTAGGTATACCTAACTCCCACTGTCTCCTAAATGCTAAAGATAGATTCTTAGATGTGATTTTTTTTCAAACGACTGATGGCTTACTTATCACATAAACATATGATTATAATAATCTACACTCCTCACAAGCCTATTCCACTAAATGTCTCCCCTGTGCTCATATTTACACTGCCTTTCTCTAACTTACCGCATTCATTTAAAGCACTGTTCTCTGGAATCAGAGCATCCATGCTAGAAGCTGTTATAGAGCAGCTTATTTCACAATGGCTATACTGGCAGTTTAGAATAAGATCATGCTGTTACTTTGACAAAATTTAACAGTAAACTTAATAATTAAAGTTACCGTCTTGTTTCCCTTAGGAGAACAAGGGAATTCTAACAATTGTGGCTAAAATTAGGGAAAAAACAACTTTTGATGAAAACATAGCTTGCTAGTATAACCTACTACCATAATTCAAACAACAAACTGTGTAAGATTTCGTTCAACAATATGAAAATACAGATCTTTTTAAGTAGTGCATATGGTAGATCCAGATCACTAAGGTATCAAAGGAAATAAATGAAAATCCAGGAACTGGGAGAGAGATGATCATATATGCCTTCGGCTACTGTCATCTCTTACTGACATAATGTTAAGGTTCAGGCCACATTGAGGAAAGCCTACTAAAAGCCACCTTTCCTCATTTCAGCTCTGGTAGAGTTAATATTTGCTACATGTTCACTGTCAAGCAGCAACAGCTTCACAACGATAGAGCTTCTCCTTATCTTCTCTTTAAAAAAAACAAACCAACCTGTTTAGTTCATCTACCAGGCCTAGTAACAAGTGACTTACTTTCAAAAATAGGACAAGCATTTATATTTTAGCTATAATATTTATATAATTTTTTCAATAATGCCACAGATATTTTCAGTTGGGATTTATCTTCAATAATAATCAGTTTGTACAAAAAGGGCAAAAAGATATATATATGCATAGTTGATTTCCTAAAGAGAAACTGCATGACAACTGTTTTCATTTTGTCTTCATTTCAGACTAGATGCATAATTGAGGGTAATCCTTGCTTTCATATTAGGACTTCAATTTCTTAGGGATTATCAATGCAACATCTGTAAATCATGAATCTCACATCAGAACAAATGGTCAAAATCCATTTTATGTAATGTGTTTTTTTTCTCCTGATAATTCAGAATCTATCCACATCAACCCCTTTTCTTCAAATAAGTCCCAAAAGAACAAAAAAGCTTAACATAGCACCGTTTCCTGTCAGTTACCAGATTGCGTAAGGGCTGTGTAACAGTCAACGTGGGATCCTGCAGCAATTTTGCTGCCAGCAAAAGTTAAACAATGAAACCACCAGGAGCAAATGTGAAACGAAAACCTAGTCATGATGCACACAGAGAAGGTAGGTTCCCTATTACAAATATAACACCCATTATTCAAATGCACTTCTTCGACTGCCATGCTCTTCCCCACAGGAACTACTTCCAAACCACAAGTACATGTGCCAGAGGCACAGACTCAGAGGCCACAGTATCTCATTTAGCCCCAGTTACAACAGCACAAACAACTCACTAGAACATACAGAACTGACAATTAATTTTATGCTGATTATTGCAGCAATTAAGTAACAGTATTTACATCACATCTGTGCTCATGGTTCAGCTACACCTCGTCCCAGTTAAGATCTGCTTTAGTGCTGGTCTCCTCCTCCCTCCTGAAGATGCACACTTGCCCTGTGCTTGGCCATTCACTGACTCACTGTACATCCAAATCAACTGCACCCACCTGGCCATTACAGCCAGTTACTACAGCTGACAACTTGTGCTTCCTCCTATCACCAAGCAGGGCCACTGTGTTTATTTAACCACTACATTGGACTAATGCTGCTGCACCACACACAAGTGCTATCTACAGATAACCATGCATAGACAGGAACAAACACAACCCCTTGTTGAGCAGGCAAAACAGGATAAAGTCTAACATCTGTGTGACCTACAACCATCAGTTGCTCAGCAGTCCCACTGCTCACTGCAAGGACTTATTGATAGGTACACAGTGGACATTGGAAGAGGGACTAGTGCTTAATGATCCCTCAGCAAGGCACAAGAAGATGGCACTCATCAACTCAAGAATCATTAACTTCCATTTGTCGAATATGCTTCTTGAAAACACATATCAACAACCCAAAAGTTGACTTCTAATGTCAGTAGGTTTTGTTTTAAATTACTGGTGATGGAAAGCTACCGACTCTGCCTTCTTTTTGCCCACCATTTTAAGTTATATTTAGACTAGCATGTTCATATTAGGAACAATGAAATCTAGAAGCCTACATGGATTAGAATCACTCTCCACATTGAATCAATAATCAGGAGACATTAACAGAGAATGAGGCTTCTGTTGACTTCAATATTTTCTAGCTAATGCTTGTCAGAATCATAAGAGTTTATATCAGACTACCCCACTCCTCTTGTCCTTCATCAGCAGCCTCATGCTGCTTTGTATCAGCTACAAACTAAACTGCAATGCAGCACCCCACAGCTCTACTGTGAGAGTAACTCCCGCGAAAGCTAATTTGTGGTTTGCATCCATAAAGACTGTAAGATTTTACTTATTTTTCAGTTGACAGAGCAAGTAAAAATAAAACATATAACTGATTACAGAAATTCAGATTTCTTGATTATGAACTATATAATGGAAAATAATACTTTCTTCACAAAGGCCAAGAAGCATACATGTTCTACACTGAAGAGTACCCTATATTTTCATAACACTCCTTTTTATGATTTTTCTCTTCCACTTGAAAGAAATAAAACACGAAACAAACAGCTTGGATACAAATTCAACCAAAATTCAACCAAAAAGTAGTAAGTAATTGTGCATGCCCCTTTTCTCCATGACTGGAAGAGAAAGAATAACACAGAGACCTAAAGACACAGAATATTTTTCTGCTGTTAAGAAAAGAGCATTTGCTTTACAAAACAACAGCAACATTTATGCTTAATAATGAAGACCAAAAAAATTATTTGAACATTTATGACTACTTGCTAAGTACTGAAAAACAAGCTTGATGTTTTTCATGAGGACAAAAGACAAACATCAACCTTAATGTAAATCCCAAGCACACAATCAAGTCAGATTTCACGGTCTAAAAATTATTGATACAATACAGCACTTCAGAACATCTGCATTTCTATGCTGTCCAAACAGTGTATCGGAAGACAAGTGATAAATGAACACCTAAGATGAGTTTGAAAAATGTTGCCAGTATGTTTCCAACAGAAGAAAAGTGGACATAAACGTTTTTGTATTGATGTATCCCAAAACTTTATTAAGCTTCAGCTGCAAAACTCACTTTGCCTGGATTCATTACCTGGAGCCAGACTGTGTCACAATTTTAGGGCTGCCCGCACTCCCACAACAGCACGACCCAGTTTTGTATGGTTAGAGCTACACCACCCAAACCCCCCCTGCCATTACCCATGTAGTCCTACATTTAATTTTGACCAAATAACCTTAGCAGCTGATGTATGAAGCATACTATTATTACTAACTTAAATGTTATGTAATTCACAAACATGCATTCACAAAGAACTTCATTTTACTTCCCGAAACTTTAAGTAACGTAAAAAAGAAAAATGTATCCCTTGTCATTTAGGTACAGCAAAAGTGAAATGGACACTGATTACAATCAAGAATAATGAAATCACTATATGTTCCTTTATAAATACATGAATCTCACCGCATTATGATGTATTTCTAAACATACAATACATAAAACTTGTGATTGCTTATTTGCCAAAGGAGACTTCAAAAAAATAAAACCAGATCTCATTTAAAAGATAAGTATGACCAAATAATATGCCACAATATGCTTCAACTCAAAGTTATGTCAAAAAAACTCAATTCAAAACTGAATAGGCAAGCACTAAATCGTAATCTTTCAAACTTTCACATTTAATGCTGTCAGCTTCTACTGATGACACTGGAAGGTCACACGTAACATATTTGATGGAAATCCTACAGTAGAACTGCACAGTTATACCAAATATCATGGTTAATTCAGGTAACTAACAGACAGCATTGGTTTTGGTGTCTTGGATGATGGAAGCAAGCCGTTGTCAGGATTCCTGGCAGCACCATTACACTTAAAATGTTACTCTGTGATCTTATCTTGGTGACCCAGATGTTATAAAGTAATTTGCAGATAAGAGTTTACTGCTCTGGTGGAACCACATGTAATAATTAGAATGATAGAATCATAGAATTAAGGTTGGAAAAGACCTCTAAGATCATCAAGTCCAACCATCAACCCAACACCACCATGCCTGCTAAACCATTTCCTGAAGTGCCACATCTACACATTTTTTGAACACCTCCAGGGATGGTGACTCCACCACTTCCCTGGGCAGCCTATTGAACCGACCTGCTGGTATGCCTTGGGGACTTGTGACCAACCTTATATCATCCTCAAATATCTATTTTAAATTTAAAAGAAATCCATTAAAAATATAAGAGAATCAGAGAAGTCCAAAGAGCAAATCATTCCCAGCTGATCGTTTTAGCCACAGATTTGAACTTGACTATCACTTGAATTATGATTCTTTCACTCAAGATCTCGTTTACTGTTAAGCCACGATTCTAATGCAACACTGTATTTAAACAATTTTAAGTTCAATTTTGAGTTCACCTGTATTCAGCTATTAAAGTTTAATTTAATTTTAAGTATTATTCTCCACTGGGACCAAAAAGAAACTATAGCCACCATAGTGTAGTAACCTGAACTCAATTTAACCATACAGCAAAGTTCTTTTAAATAATCTGAGGTTTTATTTCATAAGGGTGATTTAGTGGTAAGCCCACCATAAAAAAAGCCGACTACAGATAATAACCAAGCAGTCATGAGTTACACATCTGCAGACAGACATAACTGCAGTGACAATTTCATGTACTTCAATTAAATAAAACTGACCTCCACAGCAAACTAAACAAGTTCTATTGCAAATCTCCCACAACACAAAAGCCATGTTAAGTTTTTGGACAATCCTCCTTCCATAGGCAAGAACTATTCTCAGCTACAAGATGAATACCAAGTCCCAAATTTCACGACGATGTGAAGCATCTGATTTTAAACTCAAAAACCCTCTGACAAAGTACATAACGGATAGGGCAGCAGAGGATGGGAAGAGTAAGGACAGGAAATATAACCAAAGCAAAACACAAAGCCACCACTCCCACATGTCCACCTGCATATGCACACGGACACAGACATACACTGCAAAATTCGCTCCTTAGCTCTTAAGGGAAGTTGTTGAGAATCCTGCACTTGACTAACATCACTCAAACAAATATGTCCTTAGTAAGTCTGAAGCTTCAGAAAAAACCCACCTTAAAATTATTTCCACAGTTACACTGTCATTGATAACATTAAGCAAGCTGAAATGAATGCTGTTTTCTTAGTAATCTAGAAACAAAAAACCTTGTCGAAAAAGATACGCAGATAGTTTCCAGTAAATAATTGTCAAGACCTACTATTAGGGGGTAGGGAAGCAGAAATAAAAATCAGAAGTTTAGTTCTGTAAAGATATCTGTCAAATAACTTTTCCTTTCCTGGTTCTTCTCTTTTCTAATTGAGAAAAAGAAACAAAATAGAGCTCAAATTCACCTATGGCATCAACAAGAAGAATTAGCTTTGTTACTTAAAATGACATGAAACTTGCACATGCCCATCTCCAAGAGATTAATACAGTAATATCACTCAAAACACAACAGTATAAAAAGCTTTAACAAAGTAGTTCTTTGGCTGGTTTTTAGATAAGATTGTCTTAGACCAATTCTATTACAGCTCATGTCTAAAGTGAAAAAAAGTGTTGCTATGTAAGTTACACCTGAAGCACAAATTGAGCAGTAGACATTACTATAGCTTAAACAGATTCAGTTAAGCTCCTAGGGCCAAACACCATCATGACACATGAATTTTAAATTTCTCACCTGTTCTGCAACTCTAATTTCTGAAAATCCTACAGCAAAAATCTTAACTTTTACTAATAATGTTCTACTTGAAGTTGTAGTCAACGGTTCTGATTTGCTGCTTCCACCCCACCCTCAATAAGAAAACTAAAGTTCAAGCTTCCCCAAAATTATTCTGCTCAGAAACAAACCTGATTCATACAGTCCTCCAAACAAATGACCTGGTGTTCTGCACAAACCAAGAGATATCTTAACAGTAAACACATATGCCTAGTGTTATGAAACTGACTAAAAGGAAGACAAAACACACACACAGTGCAACATTTGATTATTACATTGTGCAGAAGTGGAAACATTAGCAGGTATGTTGGTACTTACTGTGCCCGGCTCTCTGTCTGCTCCCGCAGTAATCAAGAAACGCACAGACATGCCCGTTCAGACACAGAGGCAAGAACAGAAATAAAAAAGGGGGGAAAAAATTAGAACACAAGCCACGAACAGTTTTAAAATGGCTTTTATTTATATAAGTCATTGCACATTCCTAATACAGTGATTTCCTGAAAATTACAGTATTTTGTAAACATGATTTACAGTTTAACCATACACAAAGCCTAGTTTTATTTCATGACAGAATAAATTATTTTCTTTTCAAAAATTAGTCAAGTGCAATTTTGCCCAATATTTAATTGCGTACTAGAATTTAAGCCTATGAAACTAAAGTAACAGATGCAATTATCTAAATCTTTTGTCTGAACACATTCACTTCAAAATTTAACTTCTCAACCCCCTACCTCCCCACCCATCCATTTAACAATATTACTTTCTTTGAAAAAATTACCCATTATGCAGTATAACAGTTTTCCACAATACGGTGCAGGCCACTAAGCATTTACCAGGATGTCAAAATGCCCTGCAAACTATAGAGCAGGTGACACCTAGCTATCCCCTTTTAAAATACTGAAAGCTTCCAAGCTGAATTTTGCTTCAGTGGTATATATGCAGACATTTTTAAGTTTGTCAACACTTTTTTCTCATTCTATATAACTTGAAATCTTTAGAGATGCACATAATTTGCAGCAATGCGCAAATTTGACAATGTCCTAATCAGGCCTGCCATGCCTCTCACCTCTGTGGTGTTCTGCATCGTGATGCTTCTTGTCATCTTTTATTGCCAAGTGAGACTGCCCACCCAAAGCACTAGAAAGGGCAAGAAGGCCAGCACTGCTTCCAAGTGGAGGGATTCCTGGAGGCTGAAGTCCTGATGGATGCGGTGTTAGAGGCACTGGTGGTCCATGGCCATGGGAGAGATGTTGAGCCTGCAACTGCTGCTGCTGTTCCCAGAGGTATCATCATCCCCAGAAGAACAACGCATGCCACAGTTTGGAAAGGAGAAGGGAGAAGTTTGGTTAATTACTGAGAATCAACAGTGAATTTTTTAATTTATTTGGTTTTTTTTCAAATATAGCCTCTCCTCTTTGTTCCACCACACTATACATACTGCATTACATGATGTCGCTTGTGGACAGCTCTGCTTATGTCCCATACACCAAAAAAGGCTAGCTCGACACCTGTTCTGCAGCCTGAGGAACAGGTTCAACTACTACAGGTTGTGTCAGGCAACTACTGCCTGCCACAGCATCACCAGTGACAAACAAACAGCAGCAGCAGGTCTGAATACCTCTCCCTTTCTATAGAAATAAGCATCACTGCTCTGGGGAAAAAAAACAAGTTTCACTGGCAGACTGATTTAAACTCACCCCCTTCTCTTCCCCCAACTGAAAACAGTAAGTAGGTTTCTATTTTGAATAATAAAAAAATCTAAACGACATTGCTCAATTCCATATTCAGTGTAGTTATAATATAGTATAATAGTATAATATAAAGTTATATTTTATTCTAGTGAAGCTTTTGAAAAAAAATTGCTTAATTTGATATTCAGTGTAATAATAGTATAATATAAAATTGTATTTTATTCTAGCCAAGCTTTTGAAGAAAAAAAAAAATTCGTAAATTAATAGTGTGTTCAGGAACCATCTTTGAGCTTAAAATCCAGGTATTACCGATAGCATCGATAAGGTTATGGAATTCCCAACAAGAAACATGTATTAATGAATTAAAATATCTCCATCTGTTTCAAAAGCAGCTTGCAAGATCAATATCATAATGAGTGGACATACGACCCTGCAACCAATCTGGCAAAACAAGCCATAAGCAATTTTAGAAACACAGTCCTTATAATGGAATGACTTCCCCATAGTTTAAACACTAAGATAATCTCTATGTAAAGCTGTTATGGTTTTATTAATATTTTCCAAGTGCAGCTAACCATTTAATTTGTCCAAAATGCTCAGCACAGACTTATCTAGAAAATTAAGCTTCAAAACCATGTTTAGCTTAGTCATAGCTCCCCTTTAGTCAGCTACGGGTAAACAGTTTTTCTCTTTCTTGCTTCCTTATGCCTGGACAGAACAAAAAAGACAGAACAAACCTCTCTACCTTGGCCATGCTCCGCCATCCCTCTGCTGAAGATAAGACACCATGAAAAAAAGTTAGAGTACCACTCAATTCATGTGATCAGAGAGAGGACAGATAAGGAAATGTTTGAACATGATGAGTTCAGACATGAGAGTTTGAACTGGTGAATGCCAGTGGTCCTGTAAGAGCAGGCAAAATTGTTACAGTACTGCTCACAGATACAGAAATCACACCTAGACTAAAGCTCACAATATTTTACAAGTTACTACAAAATAACTCAACTCAAAATAATCAAAAAATATTTTATCTGCTTCCATAGGTCTCATAACTCTTCAAGACAAACTGTCAACAATACCTGCATAACATCTACTGGCATCTCAATGACAATTTATTACTATTTAGGCAACTACTACTCCCCTATAGTTTTATTTCTCATAACCCCATCCCAAGACATGCCTTGAGCTGTTTATAACTTTATGTAGAAAAAGTTACTGACACTGAAGAACTCTGGACTGGACCTGCTAACTTTTCACTTTTCTGCTGTCCCAACTGTAAAGCAGGCATCATTTACTTGTTTTTGATACAAAAGACAAATCTTAAAATTTAGCACAATCCCTTCAGTCAATTCTATAAAGTCACAAGTTTACAAAATCTTTGTCACACCATGTAGCAGGAATTTATTTTCAGGTGCTGCATAAAAAGCATTACTGGTCTTCACTATAATACGTACATTTATTAAGACTGCAGAGTTTTGGTGGATTTTTTGAGTTTTTTTGATCCAGCCTCTAAAGAGCAAGAGAACATGTCTCTTCACACAGACTTGATCAAGACTTTAGTAGTTTCCAGCATGTTTCCTCAAATCAGGAGATAACCTGATGTTTTGGCAGGCTCTCTCACAGCGAGAGTATCTTAGTTGTTCCCTTCGTCGTAGACCACTTAAGCCAGGTCAGTCATCTGCACTCTAGCCATGAGACAACATGCACCAGCAGCACTGTACTGCATTCACGGCATTGGTCTTGTCCCCAGGGGCACTATCACACCCCATTACCTAGTTGTGGTGTGCAATTGGTTAAGAACAAAAATTGATTTATCCCTTCCAAATTGGTTTTGTGGTGAAAAACCTAGTCCCTTCTCCAACAGCGAGCTTGAATTAGCTTCTTTTGCAGTGTGGGCATAGGGAGGTCAAGGCAGGGAAATGAAGTTAAATTCTTTCCATTCTTGTCCCTAACCCTTCAGGAAGCCTGTGAAGATTCTCTTTATTCATGCCTCTCTTGCTAGGTTTAATTAGCAAACAGGTTAACCTGCATGATTTCAGGAAGCATAGCTTGACATCTTTAGAAATCGGACTGTTACGGACACATTACCCACACTCTCCCTAGCTCTGCTTTGCAGGCTACACACAGGGTATTTCAGAAGTCCCAGAAATGAAGAACAGATTAATCCCCTCTACCAGGTTCTGAAGCTGAAAGTATGTGTCGAGCTACATCCTGCTTCTCTGATGGGACTGCATACAAATGGTGGGGAGCAATGCCTAGAGTAAGGTGTAGAACAGAATATGAGAGCTGCAAATGGAAACACATCACTGCATAACATCTCAGCAGATTTCAAAATGGTTACTGAGGATAGCAGAGGAAAATGGTAGCCAAAGATGCTTAAATATCCAACTACATTAAATGGACCTAAGACTGAAAACCTGATCATGGTCTTTTACACCAGCAAAGGAATATTGTGATTTAGTGTTTATCATCTGGGGCTCACTGTTGTTTAAGACTGAAATATATTGATTTATTGTTTATATATTACCTATTCATAATAGGTTTAAAGTTCTCTCTAACACATAGGGATGATCCTTTCCAGAAGTCCATGCTCTTTTTATTTTAAAAACTTGGATTGTTAAAAGTATGTATTTTCCCCTAGGAGTGGAAAAAGGAATATGTGCTGCACACAAAGGGAGAAACTAAAGACCAGGGAGATGGATAACAGCAGCACTCACCAGATGCATTCAGTAACTAGACATTTGCCATAGTAGATCCTAGAAACAATTATGTTATGCATATAATCACTTTCCTGTCACTTCAAAGACACTAATGCCTGCTCTGTCACCTTTTAAGAGCTCAGCAGCAGTGAGATATAAAACGGAGTAAGCTGGCAGCAGTATCATGGTCTACTAGGCATGTTCATTAGCTGTTAATTAAAAACTAGACACCTGCCATAAGAAATGTGCTCAAAAAAGAATGAGTAACAGGTCTGTCTTACTACCAATTATCATCATTACTCGCAGAGCAAGAGCTCTGTACACTCTCAGAGGGAAGTGGCAAGATAGAGAAGAGTGCAACGATGCATACATAAGTGACTGCACTGAGATAATTAGCCATAGTAGTGATCCTAAAAGCATCAGTAGTTCACCCACCATTTTGCTGCAAAACCAGAAGTTCTTCATAGAACACGTAGAAAAGGCAAATTCAGCTTACTGTACTGTCTAGATACAGGTTTTATTGCCTCAAATTTTTTCTCAGTATCCTCCTAAGCAGCCCACAAAGACACAAAAATCAATGTATGAAAAGCACAGCACTTGCTTCTCTGAGCAAGCACCTCCTAACAAGTTTAAAGGCAGTATAGTTTTTTTACCTCCAACATCCCAGGCAATTTCCAGCTATAAAGAGCTCTTTAACTGGGATATAAAATTTGGAATTAATTTTCAATCTCTGCCAGCGACTTCCAGCAACAGTCAGTAAGTCTTTGTGAAACAGATTTCCTATAAACAATGACACATCTCCTTCAGGCTCCTTGCTTATTAAGATCGAGCATGAGCTCCTACAATCCCACTTCCCATCTTGAAGTAGCTCTGCTGAGGTCACAAACACCTATGACTGACTTCAAATCCAGATTTGAGTTCCTAGCATTAAATAGTTCTTCATTCTTCTGTTCTTAAACAGATGTGTGATGTAATATTCAGTATCTGTTGAAAAGCACTGAATCAAAAATTCAGATGCGATTGTACATGAACAGTGGAAAAAAGGTTACACCTGGTGCCAAACTACAACAGCTGTCTTCTGTTGTGCCCTTCTAAATAAACACCTAAAAGCAGAAAAAGTTTTCAAGAAAACCTTATTGGCACTAGCACGACTAATACTATCAACAAATTCCCCCAAGCTCCACAGAGGTGTTCTGAAAAAAATATCTGGCAAGCACAAAAGTTAGAGACCTAAAATGTAAAGGGCACTATTTCATTTCAACTTCTGAAAAACTGAAGAAATGCAATTTTCTTAAACTCAAGCAGGCAGAAAGACATAAAAGCAAAACACGTATTACTGTGTTCAATTTCATTGCCATATTCTCTCACTTCCCAAAGGGAAATCTTCAGGTTTTTTATTTGCTTGCTTAAGCAGCAGAAATGAAATCTTGTATCAACGTCTATGGCAAAGGAACATATGAGGGCCACTGTATGAGCACACACAGCTAGCCGACCAAGCAATCACCTTCTCCCTCACCGTTTAGAAATATTCTTAAAACCAACATTGCAAATGTAACCTTCCAAAAAAGGAAACAACTCCAGATTATGCTCTTGTCAGATCCAGTCTTCTCCCTCCTTCTAAAAAAACCCCAAACTCCGCACACACCTCCCACACTACCAACAGTCAAATCTAGTAGGAGTAAACTCATTAAGCCATTAGTAAATACTTGCATTCAAGTTTCTGTAGGTAATTTCAGATGAATATTTCAACGACAGGGAAGAACCTATTGTAGAATGACAAACAACCTCCCTTAAAAATATTTCCACATTCCTCTACAATGGAGTGACTGCATCGGTGGACAAGGGAAGAGCTACTGATATCATCTACCTAGACTTCTGGAA